GGCTTCAACAGGAATCTGGGGACACATGCCTTCAGCCCACAGTGACAGGTCTGCCCTGCGGACCTGCCATCGCCCGCCCACATCAAGACAGAGACTGTTTCCTGTGCCTCGGGGCTTCCTCGGGCCCCAAGCGAGCCCCGTGTCCTCCCCACTGGTCCGTTGTGTCTGGCCCGGGGCCTCCCATGAGGGTCGTCCGTGGTGCTGCAAGTCTCTGGATCTCCCCCTGCTGACGACTGTGAGATACTCCTAGCAAGGGGCCTATCCAAGGCCGCTCGCTTAGAGAGCACTTGAGCCGCTTGGCTGTGCCACCATGCCAGGCACCAGGGTGGGGACGGTGGCTGAGAGGGTGGGCTCGGGTGTGGCAGGGCAGATTCCCAGTGGGGTGGGTTGGGGAGTGGTGAAACGGGGGTGGTCGGGGCTGTTCACAGATGAAGGAGATGGTCTGTCTACACGGCCTGGTGCCCAGCCGGCCCTCGACAAATGCCAGCTGTGGCGGCCGTGTGGCCGGTCTCTGGGGAAACGTGAACCCTCCATACAAGAGGGGGCTTGGCTGGGGGTGGTGGGATGGGCCCATGGGGAGACCACCACAGCCCGAGGAAGCCCACCAAACGCCCCCAGGGAGAGAATGGGCTCTGAGTCACCCTCGGCCCGCTCTGCCGGGATGCTCCGTTTGGGGAAATCGTCCCAAGGGTCCACCCCTCCCTGCCCCTCAGGAGTCCAAAGCCAGCCTGAGTGTCTGGGTGCCTGGCCAGAGGGTGTCAGCGGGTGGGTGTCTCCTGAGTGAGAGCAGGAGGAAGATGGCGTGCATATCCTGAAGGCTGCCAGGCGGAGGAGGCAGAGCCCAGCCCCGCCCCCATCACATGGGCCATGCCTCCTTCCCTGCCACTCACCCCTGGGTGGGGCTCGTTGGACATGGGGGCCCGCAGGAGGGTCAGGCCCGCATAAGGCCACCTGCTGAGTGGGGTGTGACTGTGCTGTGACTCTGCCCTCCCTGGAAAGCAGCAGAGAGCGTGGCCCGCAGGCGCTGATGGCTTTCCCACACACTTGGACCGCAGCCATCTTCGGGCGTGGACGGCCCAAGGACGTCCACACAGCCGCTCCACTGCCCTGGGCCCATTGGACAGAGGGCATGAGGGGCTCGGAGCCAGAGGACCAGGCGGGGCCCACGGCTGGCAGGCTGGGGTCTGGCCCCGGCGTCGGCTGCTGGCCATCCAGCTGGGGGATGCCGGGCCCCAAGCTCCGTGTTGACTGGGCCACCAGGAAGGACATTTCCAGAGTGAATAATCGGACTGGTCCCGGCCACCCAAGCTCTGACTTATGCAGCTGACCCCAGGCGTGGCAGGAAGGCCTTGGGTGCACCCCTGACTGCCGGCTCCTGCCAAGTGGCCCCCACTGCCCTGCTCTGGGAATCCCCCAGCCAGGCAGTGGCACCGGTGGCCCATGGCAGGTCCCTCAATCTGGCCCCTGGAGCAGCGTGTGCCCAAGGCTCTGAGCCCCGGGTTCAAATCCCCGCCCTGCCACACACTCGTGGTGGGACCTTGGGCAAGTCGCTTAACCTCTCTGTGCCTCCCCTGCAACAGGATTGGATTCCAGCTCTTCCCTCCTGGGGCATGGGGAGCACAGTGCAGTGTACAGGCCAGGCTTGACATGTGGCAGGAACATGGTACCTGTGAGCCATTTCTGCCGCATAGGGAGACCTCGCCTCTACAAAAAAAATCCCCAGATTAACCAGGCAGAGTGGCACACGCCTGTAGCACCGGCTACTCGGGAGGCAGAGGAGGGAGGATCGCCGGAGCCCAGCAGGTCCAGGCTGCGGTGGCCAGGAGCGGCCACTGCCCTCCAGCTGGGCGACAGAGTGAGACTTGGACTCAACAAAGAAAAAAAAAATGAGCCGTCTCTGGAACATGCTGACTTTACTCAGAGGGGGTCTTGGCACACGTGTTGGGCGCCAGGACCTGGCCATGTTCAGAGGCTCTGAGGACAGCAACTCAGGGCATCTGGAGCCGACGGTGAGACAGGACACAGGAGCCAGGCGGAGGGCGTCTCACAGTCCCTTGTGCAGAGTCACGGGGATTCCAGAGTCTGGACTCTGCCCGGGGGGACCCGGGATGGCTGCCTTCCGCTTGACACAGCGCACGCGTGTTCCCTGGCCTGTACAGGGACCCCGGGAGCCCAGGCAGCCCCTCCTCACAGCGCCTCTGGTCTGTCCTCAGGGGGAACTGGATCGGAGAAGCCCCCTACAAGAACGGCCAGCCCTGCTCCGAGTGTCCGCCCAGCTACGGGGGCAGCTGCAGGAACAACCTGTGTTACCAAGGTAGGAGCCCGTGCCAGCCGGGGGCAGGGGGGCGGAGGGCTGCCGCAGTCAGGGTCCCGGGACGGCGCCCGTGAAACGGGGGCATCAGGCAGTGGAGCCAGAGTCCCCCTCCCCAACTCCGAACCCCCTTCCTCCGTCGCCTGGTGACTGTGGGCAGCCCGGGACGTCCTGCCCGGCCGTCCCTCGAGCGCAGACAGGCTCCTTGTCCTCACTCGTGTTCACAGGTTGGTCTGAAGCGAACGCTTGGGCCAGAAATTAGAAGCAGACAGCAGGGAGGTGCCTCGCCCCAAAGCCTGGGCGGGGGCCAGTCCCCCAGGCTGCCTGACTCTCCTCCCCGTCCAGCCCGCTGGCCGCGCCCCGCGACCCACTTGTGGGTTCATGTGCCCGGCCAGGGCCGGAGCTGAAGGCTGCTTGACTTTCTACCCCGTTCTCCATTTTTACGGTGGGCCGTCTGACGTTTCTTGGTCTCCTGCTGTTGCAGTCGATGCAGGCTTTCCGTGCCTGGGCCGGCCATGCCTCTGTGGTTGAGGTTTGGTTTCGCGTGGCCCTGCTGGCAGCCTCGCGGTGACCAGAGAGGCCTCGAGCAGGTCAGGCGGGCTCTGGACGCAGGGAGGGTGGGCCGGAGGGAATGACCCTCGTGTCCCAGAGCCTCTTAGGAGCCAGACGCTCCCTCTGTTGCCCTGGCCACTGTTCACGGCTGACTCTGCCGACCTGGGGCCAGGGCCGTCCTGAGGGGCGTGGGGACAGAAGCGGCCATGCGGACACCGAGGCGGATGGTCTGTCTGCAAAATCTCCTGGGTTGTGCGTCACGTGGGGCAGCTCTGGTGCCAACCCCTTCTCCAGGGAGTCTTCCTGGACTTCAGAGACAGACAGCACACCTGCCCCTGTGTTCCTGACCCCCAAATGCCTCGTGAACCTTGATCGCCGGCTTCAACCGCCAGCTCCCTCCAGGGACACGTGGTGGGGTGTCCTGTGTGTTGCTTGAATAAATACATGGAGAGTCAGTTCAAAGAACCGCCACACGCAGAGGCCGCAGATGCCACTTACCCACCCGGTGAGGCTGCCCAGACTTCTCTCTCTATTTTTGGTGGAAAACACCCAACTTGGCTTGGCGGGCATCCCGATTTTCTTAGCTAGCCATGCAGAAAGTCCCCCTCAAAACGGCTTATCTGCATAAGCTGCCTAATACGCATGTATCGAGGGCGCCTGGCCAGGCCTTGACCTATCATGGAGACTGAGCAGAGCTAAGAATGTTAACAAACTGGGTTTCTCCCCCCAGCCCCTCCCTGAGCAAAGTCCTCCCCATGGGCTTCGGGGAAAGATGGCTGGATTCCCAGCCCTGCCGCCTCCCACCGTGTGAGCTTGGGCAGGTCACTTAGTCTCCCTGGGCCTCGGTTTCCAAATCCGTGAAATGGGGCCGGTTATGCCTCCTAAGGCCACGAGAGCTGGTACGGGAAGATGCCGGGAGGGCCCAGCAGCCTCTGGCCCGTGTCCAGTTAGACGACAGTGCTGAACCTTTTTGTCCATTGGAGAACCAGGTGGGGACCCCTGGCCGGAGCTGGGCGGCGCATGGCGTAGCCTTGCCGTGAACTCTGCATGGAATTTCCCCAGGCCTGGCTGGGCCGCACGGGAACCTTAATTAGGATGTGCTCAAGCCCAGCCTGGCCCCGGGCACCCGTCCCACTTTTCCTGTGTGCGTTGGAGGGCAGGGACTGTCTGCCCATTTTCTTAAGCGGTGAGGCCTCACAGGCCTGTGACCGCCTTCCTGGGCTATATTCAGCTGAATAAGGCTGCGATTATGAGGCGTGCACGTCCAACAGGCCGACGAAAGAAAACCCGGCGGATTCCTGAGCCGGCTCTGGCCTCCAGTGGAGGGCAACCCTGAATGGCCTCTTTGACGGGAAGGGCGGACGCGTGCTCGGCGGCCCCTGCAAAAAAGCCAGTGTCTTCCTGAAGGTTCTACCTCTAGCCTCTGCTGCCAGGGCTGCTCCAAGGCTTCCCTTCCCTGCCTTTCATCTCTGCTGCTGGGCGTATCTTTTCTCTTCAGGCGACAGAATTCTCTGGGGGTCTGATCATTCACTCAGCGAATTTTGCCATGCAGCTGCTGTGTGCCGGGTACCAGTGGGAAGCAGGCTGGCCCCTGGTCATGGGAATTCACGGCTGGTGGGTGAGGCAGACGGCGGTGAACGGGCAGCTCTGTCCTGTGCCACGAAACAGTTAGGGGTGACCCGTGAGCATGTCTAAGGATGGAATTGGGGCTCAGGTCTGCTTTCCATCCTCCGCCTTAAGCCCACCTTTCTCCTCCAGGGCCAGGGCTAGCCTGTTTCAACCGCCAGCTTGAAATGGCGGTGGTCGTGGACGGCGAAACGGCCAGTGAAACGCTGCAGGGCACCCGACCCCAGGAAAAGCATCGGAGGGTCACGCACTTGCCCCCGTGCAGGGGTTTGGGGTTGTGTGGACACAGGGTGCCGTGTAGTGAAGGAAGCTCACAGCTTTTGAGAAGTGGAAATGGGCCGGGCTCGGTGGCTCAGCCTGTAATCCCAGCACTTTGGGAGGCCGAGGTGAGTGGATTGCCTGAGCCCGCGGGTTCGAGACCCACCCGGGCAACTTGATGAGACCTCATCTCTACAATAAATAAAAAATTAGCCGGGCATGTGGAAGCACGTGCCTGTAGTTCTAGCTACTTGGAAGGCTGAGGCGGAACAATTGCGGGAGCCCAGCAGGTCGAGGCTGCGGTGGCCAGGAGCGGCCACTGCACTGCAGTCTGGGCGACAGAGTGAGACTCCAACTCAAAAAAAAAAAAGTGGAAAGGAGACTTAGGGATGAGTGAACACTTGATGAAACTTGGATTTTAAAGCCACGAGGAGGCCTGCTCTGTTACTTCTCGAAATGGTTCTCCCCCAGACACATCTGTTGCCTTTTCCGCCTGAGGAGCTTGGAGGGTGGGGTTTCCACCTCTGGTCCAGAGACACCTGTGGGGCATAGGATATGCTGGCCGTAAATAAAGGTGATGGGGTTCCCTGGCCGAGGTGCGTGCCAGTCCAGCTTTGACAAGGCCACTTAGACCAAAGAAAATAGCCGTCCGTGTCTTAGTTCTGGTTGCAGTTTGCAATTTGGTGTCTTGGTGGTGTGATTGCAGATTCTGGTGAGCAGCATATAGTTGCCTTTCGGGATGTTTATTAAGAACAATTTGTAGGCCGGGCGCAGCAGCTCACACCTATAATCCCAGCACTTTGGGAGGCCAAGGCAAGAGGATCGCTTGGGTCCAGAAGTTCAAGACCAGCCTGGGCAATATAGCAAGAACTTGTCTCTACAAACAATAATTTTAAAACAATTAGCTTGCCGGGCTCGGTGGCTCAGACTGTAATCCCGCACCTTTGGGAGGCTGAGGTGAGTGGATTGCCTGAGCCCACAGGTTCGAGACCCGCCTGGGCAGCAAGACCTCATCTCTACAATAAATCAAAAAATCAGCTGGGCGTGGTAGCGCATGCCTGTAATTCTGGCTACTTGGAAGGCTG